ACCAGAGGTCCTGGGTTAAATTCTAATGTGCAGGCTCATGAATGCCCACTGTTGAGGAGTCCTATACTAGGTTGATGTGGTCATCCAGTGTTTCCAGGTTTTTGATGATGGTCTAAATTATTAATTTCCACATTTTATTAATCCTATTGATACCTTTTAAGTAATCTGTCAACCGTTGATCTACATGTTTCTAATTTTTGCCAATAATTACTTTAGCTAGTGTAATTTATCTCTCTCTATTAATTATTTAATTAGCCGTTCGACATCATTGTTTGGCTCTACTACTTGACTTGTATTACTCTATTATTACAGTAAGTCATTTATACATATCAGAGTACATCCATGATAGAAGATTGGTAGAAAATGACTATTTTTTCCATTATATTCGTCTTTTTACTAAATACTTGAATGAACATTTTTATCATACTGAAATGTAGGTTTGATAAATTTTAACCAGAAACTAAGTATAATGGATAGCATATGCAAAACTTGTCTGAGGTCTAGACAATTTTTTATTATCTAATTGTATCGCAAAAAGTAGAACAGTTTAAGAGTATTAACTTTTGTTAACTTAAAAGTGTTTTATGCAGACTAATAGGTCATTTGGAGGCGGGAGCGGTTATTAGGGCAATGATACAAGTTTTATAGCCAAATGGTTAATTCAGATTTAAATATTTACTGATACTGTAAACAAATAACGAAGACAAAAATGAAAGTTGATTTTGACTTTAACGACTTAAAATAGATCATTAATATTTGAAGATAATTTCCATCAAGAACGTCTTCACTTGGCTCTATGTGAATTACTGTTAACTTCAGTAGTTATAACTTTGAACTAGAATCTCAGAAAATTCATTTTCAAATTGGTTTTCAGTAAGAATATAATTATTATTTACTCAGGTGTATTTCTTTTTTTAGAAATTTATGTAGTTTGAAGATTTTTCATTACTCAGTGATATGAACTTGGGAATTAGTTATATAATAACTTATCAAGAAAGTAAGCTAAACATGTAAGGTGCAAAAGTTCTTTCTCACAATTCTGTCTTATTGTGTTCTTAGTCAAACCTGAAGGTTTCATGTTTGGTAGTATGTAAAGAACTGTTTGTTCTTATTTGTGAAAAATTCCATAATCGTACAAATGAGCTAGTCAATGATTATCACACTTCATTACTTGTGTTTTTAAAAAAAAAAATAATAATAGGTCCTGATAAAAAAGATAACTAACTATGCAATTTACTTCAAAAAACACGGAAGTAGAAAGTTGATAGTTTCTGGTTGATCAAGTCATATACCAAATCAAAATAGAATTGCTGCATTCATTAAAAAACAAAACAAACGACTTACAAAAATGGATTGACAAACGTTTAAGGAACTTATTATTATACTTTTAATTCCGAGTAAATAAAGATTGAATCAGGGTACTATTAAGTCTATATGGTAAATTGATGTTTTTTTATTATTATAAATTTTACTAAAATATATAACTGTGATAAAGATGGTTACAGTTTTAATTATGTCATACCTGTTAATACTGAAAATAGAATGACTATCTAAAGTATCATCAAACTTACTTTAAACGTTATGGTTAGTTTGAAAATAGATTTTACCTCAGATACTAATGATATTTCATATTTCCCCTTGAAAATCTTTACTGTTCTATTTACCATTGATTCTTTTTCAATCATAAACATAAACCTTTTTTAAAACATACAATGTATGTATTAACATTTTTTGATAGTTAACTTGTTCAGTCTCTCTTTTTTATTCATCAGTTTATCTACTCAGTTTCTAATGAATATCTCTTCTACAGTATTTATTCTTACATTCTAAAATTAAAGTTTTTAATATTTTAATACCCTCTATTATATAATCTGTTCTTGTTAAATGCTTGCCTTATGTTAGTTTGACAAAACTTTACTTACATAGTTTGATGGCCCTTGAAAATAACTTTAACCTCAATTATTACCATAATTTTTATCTTCATTTAAAAATTTTTTTTGACTAAGTTTTAGTTTCCACTTCAGAAAAGATACTTTTCGTTACTCATTTATATCATGTGTGGGAAATCAATGAAAGAGTTTTCTATTACGTCATTTGAGTTAGTAATAAAGTTATTCTATAAATAAGATAATGTTCATTAATTGGCCAAATTAATAATAGTAATACATTTTGATGCAATAAAGAGAACTCGTAGCATCAAATATCCAATCTCGATGAGATTATAATTTATGGACGAGCCAATCAGAAGCGTTTGAGGTGTTTCATGGTCACAGCGCCAAATTCAGTATCTGATGCTCACGTACGATCGGTTCAGGACGATTGTAAGGAAAACGTGATAACTGAGCGACTGCAACAAATGGGACTACTAAGAAATTCTTTTATTTGTAATTGTGGTAATCATATGATTTGTGGACCTTATGCAGACTACCATGATGGTGTCTTTCGATGTAACATGTGTTGGAAGAAATAGTCTGCCAGTATAAGGTGTTTTTGCCCAATCCAGATTGAGACCAAGACAAATTGCGAACTGGATAATAAAACCACCAGTAATATTGGCTGCAGCTAGGTACTACAATATATATGGTGATTGGAGAGAGTACGGATGCCTACATAAACTTAGTTATATGCATCATATCGTTGTCCACAAGCGGCATTTTGTGGACCCGACAACCGGAGAGCACACAAACAATATTTAAGCTATATGGTTGAGGCTGAAAGAGTTTTTGCGACCTAATCATGGATCCAGAAGCTGATTATTATGGAGCCATACGTATGATTTCTATCGTAAGCATTACGATTTTAGAACCTCTGAACCTCTTTCTAACCTTAAAAAAATTTTTTGAATCATGTAAAAGAAGTGTGTCCACTTTAATTCTTTGGGTTTAGTATAATATATTTTCACTTTATACTAACTGTTTTCTGATTGGCTAATATTCCCTAAAGTCACTTAAGAGTCGTTCAAAGGTTGTTCACAAATTATAGTCGCGTTTGTAATCTCTTAAAACAAATCTCTCTTTAATATATATTCAAAATGTTTTTATTTGTTTTAACTGTCACTATCTTCTACCTGTATTTAATTACTAAAATTTTCTGATCTGTTTAGTTGCTATGACTACTTTTCACCATCTATCATATATAAGATGCTTTAATTCTAATATATATATATATATATATATATATATATATATATATATATATCATTCTGTTGTATAATCGATTATAAAAACAAAACCCATCAAGAACTACAATGTTCCAATAGTATCGAAAGTACTTTATAATCCATTTTATTATGATATATGAGTACATATAGTAAGCATTAATAAATTTATAGATTAAACAAATTAATTTGTCATATCTTTTTATGATTTGAATAAAAAATAGGTGGGTTAAATGTGTGTAAATAGGCCACCCTGAATAAATTAATATCATACATAATTTACTTAGATATTTATATATTATGTTATTTAATTCAGTAATGGTAAAATGATACACAAAATTTTCATAGATTACTTAATTGATCACTTTCAATATAAAATAAGATATGAATGGTGAATTATTTTATTATTATAAAAGTCAAACTATAATATTTTAATGAATTCACTAACGTTTTATATTAAAAATTAGTGAACTTTTGCAATAAGCACTCCAAAAAGTGTATTATTTCTAAATTAAAAAGGTACTTCGAAAAAAAATGTAGTGAATAAGAACACCAATGGGGACAATCGAATGTATTCGAGCACAAAATTACAGAGCATCTCAATAAAATTTGAGAACCATATAGTAAATTGTTAATTTGCAAAAGATCAACCCATCATCTCAAACTCGATTGTTCCTTTTGAAAACATCAGTCCATCAGATTTCATTGTTAATGCGTTTTCATACTAATTGTGTTCCGCTCCCGTTCTTTCCTTATCGACCTTCTACTGAAATATATTCTATGTCTTACCACCGTTACATACTACTTATGTGGATATAAGTAACCCACACCACATAAGGAGTTGAAGTTATAATCAATGTAATAACAAAGTAAATCATGTAATGAAGATAATAATAATAATAATAATAATAATAATAATGAATACTTCAGTCTATGATTAAATCACCATGTACATAAAAAAGAATTTGTAAGCCCTTATCCTCTATTTCCCACTACGTTTATATCTACTCTGTCTCATTCTCAAATTATATATTTATCTTCTTGATTCATATGAACTTCTTGTTATAATTACCTTAATAAAATCTCCCTAACTATACTCGATATTATGAATACTATTACCATTATTATTACTATCATTATTTCTATTAAGCAGCCAGTATTTTATACACATGTTCGCTTCAATATTCTTTGTTTTTGAATATTCTATGAGAATTTTTAAATTGATACATTAATTGAATGAAACATTCTTGATCACATCAAGATAAATTTTGTAGACTGATTAGAATTTTACAATTACGACAAGCCAAGTTATATTCATGTGTACAGTAAACCTGCGGTTATTAAGTACGTCATTGGCATGTATTTACACTTTGATGCAAACTGCTTTTGGGAACAGATTCAAGGCATTTATATGTAGCAAATGCAATTGACTGATAATTCTCTTAACTTGACATAAGAAACAACTATGAAAGTAGAAAACTGTCTCAAATATCAATACTTTAGTAAACTAATATTTGAATTCATGAGTCGATGTAAACTAGACGACCATGGGAAACCTGGAAGCATAGAATGGCCGTTTTGTTCTAGTGTGGGATTCCTCAATAGTGCGTATCCACAATCTCGTACGCGGGACTCGAACCCGGGGCCTTCGGTCTCATGCGCAAATCCCTAACCTTTAGGCCACCGAGCCGCCATCCAATGATGCACCAAACTTTTGTATACCTTTTTATATTTTACGTTTTTTCGAAGTTAACTTATGGAACATTCTTCAATATAACATATTATACGTATATATATGTTAATAACTTGATGTTATTTTCTTTTATCACTGTTTTATAATTAGGGTATACCTATTGGTCTAGCTGCATCTATTCCATTTATGTTACAATCAAGTTATTATACCGGAAGTTATCAAGCACAAGCTACATTTTCATTGGTAATCTGGCCATTTTCATTCAAATTAGCTTGGGCTCCAATCATTGATTCAATTTATAGTACACATATTGGACGTCGAAAAACATGGCTTATTCCAACACAATATGCTATTGGAATTGAATTAATTATTTTAGCCAATTATATAAATAGTTGGTTAGGACGTGATCCAAATAATCCATGGAGTCCATTGGGTACACATCATCCAGTTGATATTATACGTTTAACAGTTGCATTTTTCGGATTGACATTCCTTGCTGCAACACAAGATATCGCTGTAGATGGATGGGCTATATCAATTCTATCCAAGTATGTTTACATATATTTATGTTTGTTCATTTTTTGATAGGTATTTATGAAAACCTTGTTTTATTATGTTTTATAATCAGCTTTTGATTCATTGATTATTGGTGTTGTTGTTCATTCTAACATTGATAAATTTTAGTTAATTAACGACAAATTTGTTACTCTGTATCATGAATGTATATATTAAGGTTCCTTACTGTTCAGTACAATGTGGTTTCGTATTTCAGGTTTATGTTTATTGTAATACTTGTTAGTACAGATGTATCCTTTTGATGTTTTAACTGAAAGTTTAAGAATATACAAATTCCTCTAATCTATGGGTTATTTGACGACTACAGTAAAGGAATAAGTAAATTAATTGTTAGGGAGGTAGGAAAGATTATATAATTAAGCAGAATCTCATAAATACATGAAAACATTTTGAAATTAGAGGTATAAATTTAATAGGTTAGGAAATAATTTTGATCCTGATGAAAGGCTTAACTTAGAGATATATCTTGTTAATACGTTTCAATAGAACCTAAAATCCAGCAGAATAATCTTTTGACCATTGTGAACCGTTATGTTTGAACTTTAGTACATTAAAAAAGTACTGTTGAAATGGTAGGTACACAGTAAAGTGTTCGACAGAGATCAGTTTACATTTGAATATAGATTAAAATCAGTCAGCACTAAGGTATAGATATATACATAGAATAACAAACAAGTTAGTAAATTAATTGCAACAGGCAGAGATATCTTCAAACTATCGTATGCTACTAAATGAAAAAAATAAACTATACGACTAGAGTATCTAGGTGGGAGGGAATCGGAAAAAAAATTTTAAGAAATATGAAATTTCTTTCTTTCACAACATTCTGTGTGTTTTTTTTTTGAGAATTTGAATCGAATTTACCATAATTTTTCTAGTTAATCATTGTACCTTTCACACTTTGCTAAATAAGAATTCTATTTAACAAAAGTTGATTAAAAATGTTTTGAGTATTTTAATCAGGATTAAAATTTAACCTAAAAATCGAATTATTCCCAGTGTTTTTCTCTTCATTTTGTTTTAATTATGGCAAGATTGTAGTTTATGGACGAACCAATCAGGTAATAAGATAAGAGGTCTCGAATTTTAGAGCGAAATTCATTCATTTAATTCTTAACCTTAACCAACAATTATAAATTATAATCCTATTTCCTCATATTGGTTTATAACCCTCGTATGGTCCTAGTTATTAGGTGGACATTCTCAAAGTCACTTTAGTGTCGCTCAAATGTCGTCCATAAATTACAGTCTCACCGTAAACTATATAAAAGATCTTTTTTTGAGTAGATGAGGCAATTTTTTTTCAATTTATCCCGTAAATTTTATAGTGATTGTTTTTAATAGTTTCTGTTAAAAAAATGAATATTCCCAGACAGTTAATTCAGAAAGTAAACATTAAATTACGTGGGTGTACATAATATTGAGTTATTTTTTGAAATTAGATTAACTTTATAATAATAATCATAAATACCAGCAGAAGCAAAATCGAAATTCAGAAAATGTTTTTTTTCGGTTGACTTCAGTTATAAAATGATTCAATGATGTATATTTACCTCATATTCAGAGATGTTCTCATCGGATCCTATAAGTCATAAATAATTCGTTTCATGTATTTATCAGTTTAGTCTATTATTTGCATTTTAATCATCTTATAGCATTCAGCTTAAGTGATAATTAACTCATAAAACGCTTGAAAGATTGGTACAATTTATAGTTAACACTTTATAGAAGAGATGAATTGTAGTTGACAATGGAATTCAGGACGCCCATTTTAACCTATTTAAGTCTCGTTAGTTGAGTTGTTATATTGAGGCACTCAATACAAAATACACATATATCAAATAAAACTGATTAAAATTCAGGCCATAACATCAACGACAGAATAATTCAAATCTTGACAAACTAAAATTAATTAACGTATGGAAAAACAATTATTAAAGTAGAGAATAAATATATCAATTAATAATAAATCATAAAAATAATAATTGGATCTTTGATGTAATATTTGCCTAGAAAAGGTTATTGATGGTTCATTGCTTAGTGACCAACACATTATCTATCGATTCCTAATGCAACTATACATGAAATAGTCCAGATTGAAAACATTTGACTGAAATTTTCACTACCAACATTTAAAATTTGAAAAGAACATTAGGCGTTTTTGAATGAATTTTACTAGGCATATCATATAGTTTTTAATAGTTGAATTCATGATTCGATGTCAGCCAGACCACCATGGAAAATCTGGAAACTGTTTCATCCTACCATGGGACTCTTCAACATTGCGCATCCATGATCCCGTACCAAGGGGACTCGAACCCAGAACCTTCGGTCTTGTGCATGAACATACAACCTCTAGACCTGCAGACAATTCATCTTGAAGTCAATCAATAGTGAGCACATGATTATTATTAGAATGGTGGTTTGTAGAGATTGTGAGGATCTTAATAGTTGAATTAATGAGCTGACTGTTAACATTACTTTAATCTCCACAAACCCCCATTCTCATATAATTTTTGTCTGTGTATCTTAAAAGTTTCATATTTCTCAACAGAGTATACAATCTAATTTAATATTCTTTTGACAATAACAAAACTAATAAACTTCGTATTGAATGAAACCGATGTCGAATTACGTTTGCCTTTAAAACAAAATTAGTTTTCTTTTAACAGTATAGGGGTCGTGAAGATTATTAAGTTTTTGATTGAGATCATGAACCTATTGATGTTAGACCATCATTGAAAACCTGGAAGCACTGAATGGCCGTTTCGTCCTATTGTGGGACTCCACAACAGTGCGCATCCACGATCCCGATCGCTGAATCTGTTCTTTTCAATTAGAACTCTGAAACTGATAATTTTTATTGACATTAATGATTTTCTAAAAGATATTTATGTATAGAATCTTTTTGTTTGTTATAACTAATATAAAAAGGGTTTGTATAACTTTCATGAAAAATTATCTTTCTATCAATTACATTTTGCCAAAGTATAATCTTTATTTTACTGAATAGAAGTATAGGAGTATAAAACTATTTCATCTATCTATTTTATCTATCAAATTCTATCCATTGATTATTTTAAAAAATAAAATTAACACACTTCAATCATGAATGATCTTGTATCCAACTAATCACATGCTGAAGATTAAATATTATACCATACAGAAGATGTAACTTTATTATTTTTTATTTCTACTGTTGAAAAGTTGATTTGATCAGTCAATCTTTCTATTAGTACCTAAACTACTGATAACAGGAATAGACATGATTAACTTTGTAGTCATTTAGTGAAGAAAAAAACACACAAAAAAACATTACAACATAGATGACACATGTACCAGCTATATTATCACTTAATTTTATACTTTATGAATAGATCATCAACTTTATTCTTTAATTTGAAGTTTTAGTTTATGATGGACTATTCGTTGTTTTGTTTTAATCATCTAAGAAATTCGAATTATGAATATTTCTGTTTTGTATAAAAAGTATGCATCAATCTATGTGTAATACAATTATTGTAGGAAAATGCAATTTTTCCTCAAATGAAAAGTAACAATTATCATTAAATAGTATATGTTTAATGGGTGATACTATAATTTATGGACGAACCAATCAGGTATAAGATAATAAGTCTCAGATTTTGGCGCAAAATTCACTCATCCATTTGGTTAAATAGCGTTTTAGCATTATATCTTATATAAGTTCGTGATGAAAACCCTAAATCTAATTTCTGACCTTAACCATCAAATATAAATCATAATTCTAATACCTCACACACGTTCATAACCCTCATATGGCCCTAGTTATTAGGTGGACACTCTCAAGGTCACTTTAGTGTCGCTCAAATGTCGTCCGTAAATTATAGTCTCACCGTTTATTGTAAGAAACAAAATAATAATGAATTCATTTATTTTTATATATTCTTTTCAGTTGATTATAACTTAAAATGATAGTGTTAATCCTGAAAGTGAAATAAGTGTATAATACTTTAGATCTAAAACATTTAGAATGAACTAAGTTAATTGATATGGAGTTAGAATACATTTTGGCAGATTATAATATGGAATATTAAAGAGGAAGAATGTATTTGTAAAATATCAGCGAATGAATTTGAAGTAAATCCTACGTTTTGCCTGGCAATCTGGTTAAATCTTTTTCAAGGAAATATAATCAAACATCAAAATTATCGAATATAAATAGATACATGATTCTCTGGTTAAGTGTGTACTAATTAGGTCGTCCAATCAACGTTAACAATGTTTAAAGTGAGTATTTGCTTTAGTGTGTAAGAGACATGTGATGTGAATGAAAAGTGTTAAGATTAAAGATAGAAACTTTTTAATGTAGACCCTTATTTATGCTGCGACGTAGTTTAAGTAATCTTATTGGATAGTTTATCTTGATTTTTATTGTCATCGTTGCCATTGGTGGGTGCATAGTATTGGATAACCTTGTGATCACCTCTTCTTTGTTTTGAAGGATGTTTCGATGATTCTGGATTCATGAGATTCCCATCTTATAAGTGTTTTTCGTGCTTCATTGGATAGCATCAGTTCAACTTCTTGTTTGTGTAGAGTATTTTTTTCTTCATGACCAGAGTACAATAGTATCTCTGTCTATCCAGGTCGAGTTCAATGGGTTTCACTTACTACGAATATCGCCAAGTTTTATCCCCCCAATTCCATAGATGTTTGATTAATCCCCTCAGTCTAGACATTCCATGTACCTATAATAATTGTTTCTCTGGTTGTCCGAAGGGGCATTGGCCTCGCAACTCCCGAAGAATCTTGGCTGTCCCTATGAGTAGTCATAATTTTTGTGTATGAAGACCCTTCAACTCCTAAGGCAGAGTTTATATGGTTTAGATGGATTTTTTTTAGCTAGTTTGTTTTCTACGGGATGGGAATGCTGACCTCATGCCAAACCCTCTTTTACCTGGGCTTTGCACCAGCAGTAACCCTAGAAGAG